AACTAGAAATGTCAAATTTCAAACAAGAAACATTCCAAGTAAGCTTGAGGTGAGACAGAAAAGCTCTTAGTCAAAAACTGCATTTCTGATGTGGATCTCTGTTTCCGGTTGAAGATTGACATTCTACGCGGGCCTGTATCAAAAATCCCTCCAATCAAGTGGTCTCCACCCAACCCTCATTCTGTCTGTCTTTATCTCTTTTTGTCGTTCTCTCACTCTTTCTCTACCTTTTCTGACATTAGCCCCTTGTTATGTTATAGCTACTTTATCAAGCTGTTCATCAATTCCAACTTCCAGGTCGGGATAGGGGTGTATAGGGGAGGCATGTCCTTTGCTCTTCTTCTATACCCACTTTACCACCACCACCTGGAAGTCCACGGAAGCAAACCCCACTTACAGCCCCTCCTCCGTTGCAGCCCACTGCTGTCGCTGCTGTGTGGAATCCAGATCTTCTGTAACCTTGTTTGGGTGAGCTCTTCCATTTCTCGAGACATCTTAGATGTCACAGGTAATGACACCACTGTCCACAAGCTACCGGACCTCACTTCCTGTCCTGCTAACTGTCTCTTCTGTTGCTGTGGCCACAGTAGCAGGTGGACAGCGTTGGGACAGGGAAGTGAGCTGAGCCCGCTGGCAGCCTGTCTCCAGCCTCCTCTCCTTTTACTTAGTCCTTGCCTGCCTTTGGTCCTGTATGTAGCGGTGGGGACTTGGGTGCAGAGAGGGAGAGGTTGAGCAGAGGTCAGTAGAGGCCTTTGAACTCCAAGAGCTGTGTACATAGGAGATAAGTTCCTTCCAGCAAAGGAGGGCGGCCAGCAAGACAGCCCAGGTCTGGCCAGTCGCTTCCCTCCAATGAAGACAGGACTAGTAGAGTATGCAAATAAAAGACCAAAGATCATGCGCTTACATCCTGTGCAAGGTGGGGAGGCAAAGGTGATGGAGGCAGGTCTCAACAGCTTTCACAGCTTTGAAATAAAATACAGGCCCAAGTAGAATGTCAAGGTTCAACCCGGAAACGGAGATCCACATCAGAAATGCAAGGTTCCCAAATACGAACACACACAGTCCCCGGTGACGAATGCAATGTTTCGATCTAGCAATCAAAGGCCCAAACTGGAAGTGGAAGGTTACTGCCTTGCTACCCCCACCCTCTCCTACAAAATGGCATTGCAACACTTGTGTTCCCCTCACTTCTACTGACTTTTTTTTATGGCAGAGCCTCTCCTAAAATATGCTGCCTAGGGCAGTCTTGGAGAGATGGGCACTTTATAATCATCTTTATGCTTTCTCCGGCCAAGGCTAAATAAATACTAGGAGTAAACATGACACCTCTGGGAAGAGGAACGAATGCAGCCATTGCTGGGGGAGAGATGGCAAGCACTGCCCACATGGCTGCCAGCAGCCATCGGGTGCCCCAGGAGAAAAGGCAATGTGATCTGATTCAAAACCTGGCAAAAGTTCCTCATGCCAACCCATAGGAATGGAGGGTCAGAGTGGAGGCTGTAGCAGGCTGAGTGTGGGCAATAGGGAGCAATGAACTCACAGTAGGACATCCCACCCAGATGTCTCCACTTTACTCTCCATCTCCCCTTGGCTGTATTGAGGCTTTTATGTGTAGAATTCATCTAAAGGCACAGCTTACCTGGAAGGTGTCCAAGTGTTGCTCTTACTTCATTATTTTGCAACCTTCCCACCCCCTGATGAGCCTCTTGTGATTGGCTATGAGGAAGCTCAACTTTCTTCCACTCAGCTGGGCTAAACAGGGGCAATATCTTGGGAATAGAAATCTCCAACCCCTGCCCTCCAATGCTCTTACTTTGCCTTTTAAGAAATTTCTCAGTGTCCTACTCTACACAAGGGTTAGCTCCCCTCCAGTTGCTGTTTATAAATAATAAGCTTTCAATGCATTTCAGAGCCTGCCCATGTCAATGGATCTATTGAAGCAGTGGATCACAGTGGTGAAGAGCAGCAGGCTCTTGGGGCCATACTACCCGAGTTGACTCCCACCTCTGGCCCTTGTCATGAGATCCAGGGCAGAAGACAACTGAATGCTTCAGTTTTTTTTTCTTTTTTCTTTCATCTGCTAAGAGTACCTACCCCTTTATGGTTGTTGAAGATTCATGTTAATACATGTAAAGCAACCTGGGAAATGCTCAGTATATATCAACTAACAGTGTGTGATTCATTTTGTGAAGTAAATGATCAGTCATGTCTTTGGCAAAGGTAATGCTGAGCAAGCAGTAATCACTCGATAAAGGAAATTTATAACGTGAAGTTGAAGGGTTAACATTGATAATAAATAAAGAGCGCCTGCCAACCAACTAGAAAGATGAATTCACTGTTACGTTTTTGGTTTTGTGAAGCTCTCTAAAAATTGTTCCATCCAACCCTCTCAGGTAAGAAACTGGCGGCCTAGAGCGGGAAGTATTTTCCCAAGGTTCTGCAGCCAATAAGTCAGGAGTAGAATACTGGGTACCGTATTTCTCCCACTCCAGGGCTTGTCATTAGTTAATGGGTCAATCTAGCTCGATTTAAGAATGTGTCCTTCCACATTAGCTTAGAATCCTTAGAGTTCATAACTAGACTTTGAAAGATATGTAACTCTCTTAATCCCAAAAAGTCTCTTATAAATATCACTCTGCTAGAGCTAATAATCTTAATAACTTTTCCATGTATTATGTTTTCTACAGCCCACAAAGCAGCAACATATTCCTTATCCTACTTGCTCCTTACAAACACTCTCACTAGCCTCACAGGGAAACTGAGGTGTGGGAGGGGAAGGGGCTAGTCCAAGGTAATTGAGCCAGTAACCTGAGTCCTCATCTGTTTATAATTTTGTCCTCGCGATCCTGCCAAAAGGCAGAAAGATAATTTTAGCAGTAGGAAATCTGATATAGGAGACTCTTGGCAAGGATGGAAATAAATGGTAAACCTAGGGTCCAATCTTGAAAACCCAGCTTCAAATGGCCTGGAATTAGCTATTAATTTATTTTTACCATTGTTATCAATTCTGGCCCCAGAAGGAGGAGAATTAAACAAGCTTCATGGAAAGGCCTCAGCCTGGATCTTGTCAATCAAATTCTTTTAAAAAAATATTTTATTGATTTTTCACAGAGAGGAATAGAGTGATAGAGAGTTAGAAACATCGATGAGAGAGAATCATCAATCAGCTGCCTTCTGCACACCCCCTACTGGGGATGTGCCCACAACCAAGGTACATGCCCTTGACCGGAATCAAACCCGGGACCTTCCAGTCTGCAGGCTAAAGCTCTATCCACTGAGCCAAATCAGTTTTGGCTTGTCAATCAAGTTCTAACCCACCTCTCCAGTCATGCATCTCTTTAGGCATCCCCATGCTTGAACTGCACTGGCTTACTCACTGGGCCCCAAAACATACCATGTGCTTCCCCCTCCCCCCCTTTGCCTCAGTCTTTCTTTGCTTCCCTTCCATACTCAACAAAATACAACTCACTCTTCAAGGCCTTGTTCAATACAACTCACTCTTCAGTGTTTGCCTCCGTGGGAAGCCTTCCCTGTACCCTCGGGGCAGATTTTGTCTTTGGTTGTCTTATTAACTCTGCTTCCAGCTGAGCAAATATCCACCTGTGTTTTTACTGCTCTGCTTCCTTACTAGATTGTGAGATTCTTGAGAATGGGATCTCAGCTGCCTGTAATCTGTGTTTCCAGTGTCCAGCTAAGGCCTTGGCACAGAGGAGACAATTACTCAATGGGTGGTTGTACAATCGACATCTCTTTGCCCTAGATGAGATGAATATGTGACAAATAATCCACATTCAAATAAGGTAAATGTTATAACAGAGAGTATGTAGGGTCCTGGGGGGAGGAACTAACTTGGTCTGAAGATAGGAAGTGTCATCTAGAAATTTTCTCCACCTCGAATGGGGCTGAACAGAATACATAAAAGAAAGAAGTCCTCTGTGAACAGGGTGGATTAACTGGTTAAAGAAGTGTTCACTCAATATCAGAGACTCACTCAAGACCAAAAGCTGAGCCACCAATTCTAAAATGGGGTTAATTCTGGGGAAGAGATGCTACAGTGTGACTTCCTAAGGCCCACCAATCCCGATCATCCTCCCAAAGTAGGAGTTATGCTAGAGAATTCCATTAAAAGCATTATCAGAACAGGACGGATGGGTAACAAAACCACCAATGGGGTCCCCCTATTAGTAATTCTTGAAGCGTGTGGGTGGGAATGCGTTTGTGGGAGGTTATGGGGCAGAGGGGGGATTGGCCACATGCTTCCAGGTCAGGTGCCTATATATAAGTATCAGGTCTTCTGCTGCTGCGGCAGCTTAGGATCTTCTTCTTTCTTAGCTACTGCCTTGCTTCCCCGCCCCCCACCCCCCACTATTTTCAGCCCCGTGTGTTGGATCCAAGGCTCACTGCATCCTAGTTCTAGGAGTAGCTTTTCACAGACCACAGCCACGGAAGGAGAAGAGCAGAGAGAGCGTCGTGAGTTGTACTGCCTGCCAAGACTGCAGAAAAAGCAGGATCCCTAATGTCACAGAGAGTACAGAAGTCCTGAAATATCTCTCAAGAGCTCTGCTTTCTGTCCTTCCAGTCCTCTTCGCCTGAACAGTCCTCTAAAGGAACTTCACTTTCCATTCTAGTTGAGGAGGCTATTAAGTCCAGAGAAGTTCAAAGGCTTGTTCCAAGGGCCAGAGCAAACCAGCCCTGCCTCATACACTGGGGGAAGGAAGAAAAGACATAATCTCTATCTCCCACTTCATTCAAAACTGAAGTAGACCAAGTCAGAGAGGCTTTTGGGGGCCACTGTCCCACAAAGACAGATCAGAAGGATGACAGATTGATAGATAGATAGATAGATGGACCGAGATTCATCTTTCCCCCAACTCTCCCACACCCTTTAATGCCCATTTCAAGTGGCCACTTATGCAAATTATAAAAACAACAACTTTCCAGACAGCCTAAAGAACGGATTTGGATTTGTGTAACTCTTTTTTTTTCTCTGTTTCACCTACCTGATCTCTTAGAGGTTTTGTCTTCCATTGGGAATTATCCGACACACAGTCCTCTTCTATTTAGACCCCCCAAACAGGTCCAGTGGGTGGCGTCCAAGAGGGAGCCTGGAGCCTTCCGTTGGTTCTCTGGGAAGGCTGGGGAAGTACCCTCGGTAAGAGGGGTGTGTGTGTGCTCTGTTGAAATATCAGCTGTTGTAGTTGCCAAAGAAGTTCCTGAGCCACCCAGAGCCTTTTCTCTTTAAGCTAACCATGTGTTCACCTTGCCCCAAAGGTCAGAACTAATATTAACAAGCCACCGCAGAATGGGAAAATGAAAACCAGCAACGGAGACAGGCAAGATCTGTATGCATTTCCTTGGGGCTAAATTTCAGATTGTTTTTCAGAGTAAGTAGGCATGATCCCTTGCTGGCGAGTAATTTGGCAATCTAAAGCAAGAGCAATAAAAAGGTTCATTTCCTTTGTCCTCATTATCCCACTCCTGGGATTCAACCCTGAACCAATAGCCACCAAAGCATGAAAAAGTTTAAAGCAGCATACATTTAATTTTAATTGCAGAGCTGTTTTCTGATGGCAGCAAGTGGAAGGTACTTTTAAGTCCCCCAGTAGGAAAAGCAGCTCTTTGAGTCTGCAGACATTGAGATTGGTTAATCTAAGGCTATCAAATTCAGGTGTTATTGTGTGTGTGTGTGTGTGTGTGTGTGTGTGTGTGTGTGTATAATTATGCTGCAATTCTGAGTGAGGAACCTACATTACACTTTTCCCTGTACATTGTATATGTCTATTATTTCTATTTCTGTGTTCTCAAAAACAAGTCACGCCCTAGCCAGTTTGGCTCAGTGGGTAGAGCATCAGCCTGCAGACCGAAGGGTCTCAGGTTCTATTCCAGTCAAGGGCATGTACCTTGGTACAGGCTCCTCCCCGGCCTAGACCCTGGTCAAGGCAAGTGCAGGAGGCAACCAATCAATGTGTTTCTCTCACATTGATATTTCTGTATTCCCCTCTTTCTAAAAGTCAATGGAAAAAATATCCTCAGGTGAGGATTAAAATAAATAATAATAAAATGAATTAACTCAAGTCACTAACCTGTTGGTGCTATTGCCATTGTCCTTTGTTATTCATTCAACAAATATCTACTAACTCCTCTAGTATATGTTATCCCCCATGTTAGGGGATGGGACTAACAAGATGAATCAGACATGTTCATTGTTCTCAAGTTGCTGGCAGTCTAGAGACAGAAAGAGAAATAAATGGTAGCTGAGCAATGTGGTAAGCGCTGTGACAGAATGGACCATAAGGTGCCCTGAGGGCCTAGAGGAAAAGATCTAATTGGGGAGGTGGGTGGTTAGGAAAAAGTTACTTAAAAAATATTCCTTGAGCTGATTAAGATAGGGTTTGAATCCTTACTCTCACTTCTCTGAGAATGGAGTGAATCCACTCAATCTCTCCTACTTAGTCTTAATAGCCCTTAAAGTAGGGGTGTCGAACTCAATCAGAGAAGGGGCCAAAATCTAAAATCCAGCCTAAATCGCGGGCCGAATGGTTTAATGAAGTTATTAACTGTCATTGTGATGGAAACGCAGCGGTGTGCAGTGATGACAGCGTGGTGTGGGCCACATTGCAAGGCCTGGCGGGACGGATTTGGCCCGCGGGCCTTGTGTTTGACACATGTGCCTTAAAGGATTGTCCTGAGAATGAAGTGATATAATGCATATGTAAGAGCCATAGGAGCTTGGTAGCTCACTTAAATTCTCTGGGCCTCAATTTTACTCATCTGAGAAATGGACCCAAGAGAGTGTACGTGTTCAGCCACGTCCTTAGGATGTTATAAGGCTCAAGACAATGACTAGCTACAAGGCAGGATTGAGACAGCCTCCTTCCTCTCCACCCAATAAAGCCAGAGCTCTCTCCTAAGTCCTATTGCCTCTGAATGCTCCCTCCAGCAGCGGCCAAGTTCCCTCCCTGCATCCTTCCTCCCTCGCAGCACAGTTACGTCAGCTGCTCCTCCCATGGCGCTTGCGCTACAGCTGTATGCTTTCCGGCAGGGCGAGCTCTCACGTTGGGGGCGGGGCTTCGGGGGCTGTACGGATCCGCTGCATTCCTAAGCCATTGGAAGCATCCAAAGGGCTTTTGGGCAGAGCAGACACGCAGTCACACTAGAATGCGTGGGCTAAAGTGCTGCGGGGCAATGGGGGGGAAAGAGGGGAATGTGTAAAACTTTTAACAATAAAGACAAAAAAGTAATAAAGTGCTGCGAGAGAAGCAGAAGCCCTTTTCCCGCCATTCATTCCTCCTAGATGTCCGCCCCGCCCCCTGCAGCGGGAACTTCCTCTCCTGTAGCCAATAGGAACGGAGGGGCTTGAAGCCCCGCCCACGCGCGTCCCACCGTTGCGTGGTACGTCAGAGGACGCCTGCGCGAGTGAGCTGGGAAGCGGGAGGCCGGAAGGCCGGGCCTGGGGGTTTCACTTGGGGAGCCCGCCGCTCTCCGGTCCCCGGTAGGGCACGGGCGGGGAGGCCTAGCGGTTTGGCGCCACAATGCTGCGCGTGGTGAGCTGGAACATTAATGGGATCCGGAGCCCTCTGCAAGCGGAGGAGCCCAACTCCACCACCATGGCCATGGCGCGCATTTTGGACAAGCTGGATGCTGACATCCTCTGTCTTCAGGAGACTAAAGTTACCAGTGAGCGTTCAAGAATCCAAGACCCCTACCATACTTGCCCCTTTCTGCTAACTTGCCCGCCGCTCCATCTCATTTCACTCCTCCATTTCTGTCTTTAGAATCCTCCCCTTCTTAGACCCTCCCTCTCAGAACCCTGGTCCCCTCCACTTGAAACCCCTATTTCTCAATTCAGCTAGATCTCCTAATTCTCAGTTCATCTCTCCTGTCCCCAGCAGACCTTTAATTCCCTTCCCCTTGCAACCTCCATCCTCGCTCAGATCCTCTTAATTCCCATTCATTCTCCCACCCCGGCTCAGGCCCCATAATTTTCTCCCCACCCGCACACTGTCCATCTCCCACTTCCAAGTCAGACTCCCCAATTCCTCCTCCCAGCTCAGATCCTTTCATTCCAACCCCATTTTTGCCCCCAGATCTGACTCCCTAATGTCCTCCTTATACCTTCTGATTGGATCCCTGGTTCCCCTTATCTCTCCTCCCCAGCTGAGAGCCTCTCATCATTTCTCCTTCATGTCCCATCCCAAACTTAATCCTCTTAATTCCCTCTCCTCCCCATCCACCTCCCACCCCCAGCTCCCTCCTGATTCCTTCTCTGCCCCACACACTCCCTACTTTTCCTTCCATCTCCAGTCCAGATCCCCAGCTCCCTCTCCCAGATCTCCATCTCCCCCCACCCCCCGCCACCACCACCCCCCATCAGCTCCATCCTGTCACTTAGTCACCTCCCTCCTCCTACTGAATTCTCCACCTCCCATTTTATAGTTCCTTCCTCCCAATTCTGATATCAATTCCCTCTCTAGTCCTCAACTTTCTAGCTCCTTCTCTAATCATAGATACTTCCTTTTATTTTCCAACTCGGACTCTGATGTGTACAAGGAATTAGTCTTACAACTGGAATTCCAGGCCTTTATGTGACCTGGGTCTTATCAGAGTTTCATCTCTGACATAATCTTGCATCTTTTTTTAGGGGATGTGCTGACGGAGCCCCTGGCCATCATTGAGGGCTATAACTCCTATTTCAGCTTCAGCCGCATCCGGAGTGGCTATTCCGGTAAATGGGGGTTTCTGGGGACTTAAACTGGTGATGAAAACAGGTTTTCCCATATTTGATGAGAAGGTAATGAGAAATGTAGGCTTTTAGTCCATAGAGCTAAAGCCGCATAAAATTATGTGTCAAATTATCCTATTGGTCTTCAGAAGCACAATAGTGTGGTGGTTACTTGTATGCGCTCTGGAGTCAGACTGCCTGGGTTTAAATCCTAGCTCATTTCCTAGCTCTGTACCCTTTGGTAAGTTGCTTAATCTCTTTATGCCTCAGCTAGAAAATGGGGATAATCTTACCTTCTAGGGCCGTGGTCGGCAAACTGTGGCTCGTGAGCCACATGCGGCTCTTGGCCCCTTGAGTGTGGCTCTTCCATAAAATACCACTTGCGGGTCCACACGTACAGTGCGCTTGAAACTTTGTGGCCCATGCGCAGAAGTCGGTTTTCGGCTCTCAAAAGAAATTTCAATCGTACTGTTGATATTTGGCTCTGTTGACTAATGAGTTTGCCGACCACAGTCCTAGGGCTGTGGTCGGCAAACTGCGGCTCTCGAGCCACATGCGGCTCTTTGGCCCCTTGAATGTGGCTCTTCCACAAAATACCACAGCCTGGGCGAGTCTATTTTGAAGAAGTGGCGTTAGAAGAAGTTGAAGTTTAAAAAATGTGACTCTCAAAAGACTCTCAAATCGTCGTCCTGATGATTTTTGGCCCTGTTGACGAATGAGTTTGCCGACCACTGTGGACAATTATAAGGATTACACAAATGAGTTTATGTGATAATGATATTACCTAACACTAGTGGAACACTTACCATGCATTCATATACAACAATATTAGCTGCTGTCCATGAAGAAATGGAGACTTCAGGGTTTGAGGAGCGTTCCCCCGGGCTCTCGGGAGCCATCAAGGCCTCTGAGTTGATAGAAGCGTTGATACAATGCTTGATGGAGATGATTCAGGTGACTTGTGTGGGGGCAACGGGTTGTTGGCTGCCTGGCCTGCTCACAATACCCTGTCTGTCTCTAGGTGTAGCCACCTTCTGTAAGGACAGCGCCACCCCACTGGCTGCTGAAGAAGGCCTGAGCGGTCTGCTTGCCCCTCAGAATGGGGGCGTGGGTTGCTATGGAAACATGGATGAATTCAGCCAAGAGGAGCTTCGGGCTCTGGATAACGAGGGCCGGGCCCTCCTCACTCAGCACAAGATCCGGTAATGGCTCACCTCCGCCTGTCACAGCACTGCTGGCTGTAGTGTGCATGCGGTGATTGTGAGGCTTGCCTTGCTAAGCAGGCATTCGCCATAGGAAACTTCCCAAAATTGCCTTTCCTGGCCTCTAGTCCTGGCTGGGTTGCTCACTGTGTGACACTGGGTAAATCGTGGGCTGAACTCATTGTCCCAAGGTGCTCTCATTCTGTGTCCTGTCTTTTTGACTGGCGGCACCATCTCCTGCTTGACCTGGCTGTCGTCCTAGATGCCCCTCTCCTTGCCAAATCTGTAGTCAGTCCCCAAGTCCTATGTGTGTCCGCTCATTCATGTCTTTCTGTTTCCTTTCTTTGCACCCATCCCACTGATAACCATTAAGTGGAAGCCACAAAGTGTGGGGAGGAGTGGCTTGAAAATGACTCATTTTCTTTGGGGGGGGCGGGTTTCTGTTCTCCCCAGCACGGGGGACGGGAAGGAGAAGATCTTGACCATAATCAACGTGTACTGCCCCCACGCTGACCCTGGGAGGCCTGAGCGGCTGACCTTTAAGATGCGCTTCTATCGCTTGCTGCAGATTCGAGCAGAAGCCCTCCTGGCAGCTGGCAGGTACTGAGTTTCTCTTGTGTGCCCAGCCTACCTGAATAGGCCCTGCTCTGTAAGAGTTATGAGGACCCGTTCTTTTGAGACCTAATTTCAATGCCCAGAAAGAAACTCTCTACAGGCTGATTCATATGCCTTTCAGCATAACGATTATTGCTTGTCTCATTTTTTTATTCTTATAAGTATATTTCCAGTAAGACATGATCTCACTCATCTGGGGGAAATGGTGAACAACATAGACTGACGAACAAGAACAGACCCAGAGATAAGGAGCCATGGGTCAGACTGTTGGACCTCAAAGGGAGGGTGGGGATAAAAGGGAGAGATCAACCAAAGGACTTATGTGCACACATATGAGCCTAACCAGTGATCAAGGACAATAGGGGGGTGAGGGCATGAATAGAGAGGTGGGGGATTGGAATGGGGGGGGTTGAGGACAAATATGTGATACCTTAATCAATAAAGAATTTTTTAAAAAAAGTTATGAGGACCAAGGAAAGGAACACAAATACAGGGTTTGTACTCAAATACCTCTGAGCACCTATTTGGGCTCCTCCTTTTACTCACTATGAGCCCCAAGGCTAGTCCTGCTTCTCTTTTCCCTTTTGTCAAATGAATGTATGGCTCCCTATCTCGCGGAATAGCTTTACGAATGAAATGAGCCCTGACCGGTTTGGCTCAGTGGACAGAGTGTCGGCCTGTGGACTCAAGGGTTCCAGGTTCGGTTCCAGTCAAGGGCATGTATCTTGGTTGTGGGCACATCCCCAGTGGGAGGTGTGCAGGAGGCAGCCGATCGATGTTTTTAACTACCCCTCTCTCTTTCTCTCTGTAAAAAATCAATAAAGTATATATTTTTAAAAAGAATGAAATAAGATGAGGAATTCCTGGGAGCAAATAGTGTTATCCCAGAGAGGGACAGGAAAGTGAGGGTGTGTTAGAGTAATCAAGAGCTGCTTCCTGGAAGAAGTGGTACCCCAGTTCCACTTTGAAGGACTAGAAAAATACCCCAAGGTGATCAGCCAGACAGTCATGTCAGATGGAACAGTGTCACCTTTGGAGATCAGAATTGAGTTGGTCAAGAGTAAAAAGGGCAGCAAGGTTACAATGAGATTGGAGGAGGAGGCTGTTCTGAGTTGCTTCTGGTTCTGACCTTGGCCTCAGTTTGGGAGGTGGCCTGCCTGAGCTCTTGAGCTCAGGAGAACATAGATGGGCCAGGATTACTGCTCCCCTCTTCTTGACTTCCAGTTGACAATCCCACTGTTGTGTTTTTCAGCCATGTGATCATTCTGGGTGACCTGAACACAGCGCACCGCCCCATTGACCACTGTGAGGGAGTCAACCTGGTAAGGCTCCATCTAGGCCTCTGAACTCACTCCTAACTGTGTTTCTGTTCAGCTGCTGTTTTTTGTGTTTTGTGTTTTTTTTTGGCTCAGGAGCAGCTTCCTTCCTGGAAAAGCAGAACTTAGTTTGAAATACTATTCTCAAACCACTGAGGATTGTTTATTCATTCAATAGACATTATTGACCCTACCCTTGACCTAGCCCAGTGGTCGGCAAACTGCAGCTCGCGAGCCGTGGCTTGCCGCCCTGTTGACTTAATGAGTTTGCCGAACACTGACCTAGACTCCCAATTCCAATAATTACAGGCTGTTGTTGTTCCTTTTATTAAGTCCCTAACCCAGTGGTCGGCAAACTCATTAGTCTACAGAGCAGCAAAACGCGGCGAGCGAGCCGCAGTTTGCTGACCACTGACCTAGCCTGACTCGCATGATGGGGACTCAGGTTACCACCCAGTTCTGGCTCTTGGCCCCTCAGAGCTCTCTGCGTGGTGGTGGGCTCTGGACACATGACCAGCCACTTATAGAATGGTGTCTTCAGGCCTGAGACAGAGGTGGCAGTCCAGGGAGCCAGGGAGCCCAGAAATGGGATTCCTGGATCAGCCTAGGCATCGGGGAGGCATCTGGAAATGTCTTAAATCTTCAAAGATGAGTAGAGGAGAGGTTTGGGGCGAGGGCACCAAAGCATTCTAGCATGAGAAAAGGCTGCAGGTTGAGAATTTGCAAGTCCCATTCTTATTAGGGGTGACATAGGAAGGGAGGTTAGTGGCAGGAGATGGGGCCCCTTTGGAGTCAGAATTCAAGGGCCAATCATTTTTTTTTCTTTTTTTTAGTTTTTTAAAAAATATATATATCTTCATTGCTTTCAGAAAGAGAGAGAGAGACATCAGTGATGAGAGAGAATCATTTATTGGCTGCCTCCTGCATGTCTTCTAATGGGGATCAAAGCCACAACACAGGCATATGTTCTTGACTGGAATCGAACCTGTGACCCTTCGGTCCGCAGGCTGACGCTGTATCCACTGAGCCAAACCAGCTAGGGCTATCATTTTTCTAATACACTCTGTCTTCTGCTCATGAACCTTTTTTATTTTTAAATTCAGAACTGTCCTAGATCTAAGTGCACCTCCTACATTCTTTCTTCCAGCAAACGAGAATTAATAGTACCAGGTCACGTGACACTGTCCAAAGAAGCAGAATATGTCCTCTTCCCACAATACCAACTCTTCTAATCTTTAAAAATGGCATTGTCATCCCCTCGGTTGCTCTTCCCAGAAGCCTGGCAATTGTGATACTACTCTCCTCCTTCCCTCCTCTACCTTTCCCACATTCAGTCGGCCAGCGAGTACTGTAGAGTCAGCTCCACATCATCTGTTTTTTAAAAAGATATTTTTATTGATTTCAGAAAGGAAGGGAGAGTGAGAGAGATAGGGACATCAATAATGAGAAAGAATCATTGACCGGCTGCCTCTTGCGTGCTCCCCAGTGGGGTCTGAGCCCGCAACCTGGCATGTGCCCCGACTGGGAATCAAACCATGACCTGGTTCATAGGTCAAAGCTCAACCACTGAGCCACACCTTTTGGGCTCCACATTATCACTTAATTTCAGTTTTCTCTGTCTCCTCTGGTACACCTCTAGTCTAAATGACCAACTTCTCCTGCTGGCATGAACTATAGTAGCCATCTTCTGCTGGTATTCTGGCCCTCAGTTTGGCTTCCCTTCAGATGTTTGGGTATATTGTCCCCTCCTTCCAGAGGCCCATCAGAGAAGCTGATCTCTTCATTTGTAACGCCCTCTGCCTAGGTTCCTCCTGTCCAGTGTTCTTTGAACGTTTGTTGATTGAATGAGTGGGTGGGTGAGTTGGATGGATGGCTGAACTGGGGAGCAGAGTCAAAGGAAGTAATCAGAGATGGATTTCTGGAGCCCCTGAGCTCGGGTGAGGGATGGTCGGTGAGGGCTTTTATACAAGAGAAGCCAAATAGTGCCAGAGGGTTTGAATGAAAAGGCAGCAGTCTTAACTCCCAGCCCTAGCCCTACTTTTTAGAGGCAGCCACCTTTAGCTTCCTATTTTCCATTCTTTTGGTGAGCAATTCTAAGAATTGCTTCGATGGAGCGAATAACAAGTCAGGAAGGGTAGAAATGGAATCCCAGCCATTGCTGGCTTACGTTTTCTTTGTAAAATGAAGCCAAGTCCTTACCGGCATCTAGTTCTGCCTCTCTTTGTCCCCCTTCCCTTTCCCCAGGAATGCTTTGAAGAGGACCCAGGACGCAAGTGGTTGGACGGCCTGCTCAGTAAGCTGGATTGCCAGGGTGGGGCTTTTATTGATACCTACCGCTGCTTCCATCCAAAGCAGGAGAGGGCCTTTACCTGCTGGTCAACAATCACTGGCGCCCGGCGTGCAAACTATGGCACCCGGATTGACTATGTGCTGGGAGACAGGACTCTGGTTATAGACACCTTCCGGGACTCCTTCCTGCTGCCTGAGGTGATGGGCTCAGACCACTGTCCTGTGGGTGCAATCCTGAGCGTGTCTTCTGTGCCAGCAAATCAATGCCCTCCTCTTTGCACCCGCTTCCTCCCTGAGTTTTCAGGCACCCAGCTCAAGATCCTTAATTTCCTAGTCCAGCCCAAACAAGAGCCTGTGTCCAAGCAGTCAGTGCTGCAGGTCAGCAGTCAAACCCAGGGACAGATGCGCCAAAACAAAGCCCAGGTGCGCTCGATCAGGCCTCGGCCAAGTCGGGCTGGCTCCAGCAGAGGCCAGAAAAAACTGATCAACTACTTCCAGCCATCCTCCAGCCGTCTCAAGGCTTCTCCCAATGTGGAGCTTCCTAACCTGTGTGCCCTTGTGACCCCAAAGATCCCAGAAGACGAGGTGATGGGAAAAGGGGTAGAGGGGCAGGCCAAGGATGCAGAGGCCAAGGATAAGAAGGAGGTATGGACGTCATTCTGGAAGTCTGTGCTGGGAGGTCCCTTACCTCTGCCGCTCTGTGGGGGCCATGGGGAGCCATGTGTGATGCGAACTGTGAAGAAGGCAGGACCCAACCAGGGTCGCCAATTCTACATGTGTTCCAGGCCCCGGGGGCCTTCCACTGACCCTTCTTCTCGCTGCAACTTCTTCCTCTGGAGCAGGCCCAGCTGAGCCCACCCAGCCAAGGAGTATCTGGCCTGGTCAGCCCTGTATATGAACTGAGGCCAGCACCTTCCTAAGCTGTCACCTCCTCCCCCAAGGCCTCCTTCCTCACCCCCCTCCTCCTCTACCTTTCTCAGGGATCCTTCTGTTTCTTCTTTCTCTTATTCCTCTAAGGCCTCTCTCCTCTCTCTTCCTGACTTGCTCCTCACTGGTGAGCTACTTTTGCCTTAAATCTGCACCCCAGTCCTCCACCCCAATTTCCACCTTCCTGTAAGAAATACACAGGAACCAGTGGCTCCAGGAACTTTGAAGACCCCTTCTTCCCTTGCTAGGAAATGTATCAGCCTCAATAAAGTCTGTGTCTTTGTTTTAGTGCCCCATGTCATTTGAAGGTTTTGGATATGCTCCATGAGATGTTATCTCAATACTGGGTTTGCCAACTGCCTGTCGCCTGGTGGTATAACTCAGAAAGGGGAGGGAGGAGGAGGGGTGCTCACCGTAAAGGGCTCTGCTGAGTTGTAGGGGTTCCTGTACTGCCGAGGTTGGCTCGACAGAGGAGGTAGGTGTGGTATGACAGAAAGCTCAGCCACAAACCAACACGTCCCAACTGGTGTGTCTGACAGCTGCCATAAATGGGTTATGAGGTGGAAAGTAATGGGTCTTGGCACTAGAGTTGCCAGCCAGGGTCAAGAATGGCACAGGTGTCAGGAAAGGTTGCCTCCTAGGCAAGTATCACTAATTTACCCAAGTACACCATGCAAATGTTTTATGTTTTCTGTGACATGGGAAGGTTGGGAGCATTGCCTTGAATAAGTTGCTTTCTATAGTCAAGCCTCTTTCTCACCTGGTAAAATGGGGTGTGGGAAGGAAAGGATAATTATTGAGGAGGACATCCATTCCTTGTGCTGGAAAATAACTCCAGTTTTGGGGAACTACTCCTCTAGGCAGATTGGTTTGAGCTGACTCTACCTCCTGGCTTCAGAGGCTATCTGAAGCTCAGGTGTCCAGGCCTCCCAGTGGAGAGTCAATCCCAGGATTTTTGTTGAAACTTGGGTAAGAGCCATCCTATATAATAAAGGCTAATATGCAAATTGCCCCCTCCACCTGGAGTTAGACCAGGGGGTAGGGCCGGCTAGCCAATGACCCGTGGCCCCTCCCCACAGCCTAGCTGGCTCCATTGGCCCCAATTGGAGTGGCTGGCAGGGCCCCACCCGTGCATGAATTAATTGCACTGGGCCTCTAATTTCAAATAAACCTCCCAAGTGTCTCCACTTTTTGTCCAACTTACTGTATAGTCTCCTTTCTGGATTTCAGTTTCTCTATCAGTAAAATGGGGTGGTCGGATCTACAAGTGATCTGTGGTTTACTGATGGCCCTGCCACTTGTCCCTAGGGATTCGGGTTTAGTGCAGTTCTCTGTCCAACAGAGGGCAACAAATGCTGCAATTTGCTCTTTATTTGTTTTCAAACTCAAGTCAGCTGAAGGCACACAACAAAGCAAAGGAAGAGGCCCAGCCCCAAGTGAAGTGCAGGTGGCTGGCGATCCAAGTCAGTTGGCGTCTCATGCATAGGTGGTGACGTACTCGGGCCCCATGTTTCCAAAGTAGGAACGTTCCCACTCGCTCATGAGCTCGAAGTGCACAGGACGGCGACAGAAATTGCAGGAGGCCACAGACACGTCCTGGAGGGGCAGCCCCACCTCAGTCCAGGCCACCAGCAGCTTCTCTGAAGATGGTGAGAGGAGAGGAGGGAAAGAATTGATTAGACTAGGTTTTCTCAATCCTTGTGTCACAGTACAGCTGTGCTAAGATGTAGATCCCTTCAGCCCTTCAAGATGTCTTGGAACTAGAAGTGGATTCTGGTTTGCCCCAGTGTGTATGATGAATGTTGCCATTTGTGAATGGGTGCTGTGATGTATAAAAGATTGGCAAGCCAAAACCGGTTTGGCTCAGTGGATAGAGCATTGGTCTGCGGACTCAAGGGTCCCAGGTTCGATTCCGGTCAAGGGCATGTACCTTGGTTGCGGGCACATCCCCAGTAGGGGGTGTACAGGAGGCAACTGATTGATGTTTCTTTCTCATCGATGTTTCTAACTCTCTATCCCTCTCTCTTCCTCTCTGTAAAAAAAAAAAAAAATAAAAATAAAAAATCAATAAAATATATTTTTTAAAAAAGATTGGCAAGCTCCTAATTTGACACAATTGATAGCTGCACTGGCCTGGTACAGGACATGCTATGGCCCAAGAGGTGAAACCATCTACTTTGAAACACCTAGCCTGGAGAGAAAAATGACACTGACAGTAACCACACAGTGTCACTGTTGTGACATGGGAACCTGGGGTGGGGAGTGTTCCTGGAGGGGGTGGGAACCCAGAGGAGAGAACCTGACCTCACTTTCAGAAATGCCTCAGGTGACTTTAAAAAAAAAAAATTAATCCCTTTTCATTGATTTTTAGAGAGTAGAAGAGGGGGGAGGAGACAGACATAGAGAAACATTGATGTGAGAGAGAGACATTGACTGGTTGCCACCCAACCAGGGCTGGGGATTAAGCCTGCAACTGAGGTTCATGCCCTTGACCAGACTCATCCACAACTCTCAGTCCACAGGCCAATGCTCTATCTACTGAGCCAAACTGGCTAGGGCTGTTCATGGCCTTTTAAATTATCATTCCTTCAGTGATCTCATACAGTCTCATGGATTTAATGATTCTCAAATTTTCCTTCCCATCCCAGACCACCCTCCTGAATTCGAGGCTTGTATCTTCAGTTGCCTTTCAATATCTCCAATGTCAATCCTTGTGTCTGCACTAGGATTGCTAAAAACTGCACCCTACAGGAATACAATAAACTTTAGATGAATTAACTAACTGGCATCTTTCAGGATAAAAACCAAGCTAGTTAGCACTATAAATCTTTCAATCCAGTCCTTGTTTTTTTGTTTTTGTTTTTGTTTTTCAGTCCTTATTTTGTATTGTCTTTTTGACACTCCTCTCCCCCACACCATTCCTACTATCCTGCATTCCTCTAACACCTGCTTATTCTTTTAAAAAAATATTTTAAAATTGATTTTGGAGAGGGAGAGATAGAAACATCCATAATGAGAGAGAATCATTGATTGACTGCCTCCTTCATGGCCCCCATTGAGGATCAAGCCCACAACCTAGGCATGTGCTCTGACCGGGAATTGAACTGTGACCTGGTTCAGAGGTCGACACCCAACCACTTAGCCACACTGGTTGGGCACCTGCTTATTCTTGATATATCTAAGGCTGCTTTTTATCCTCTCTTCCTTCCCTTTATGTTTTTCCCTCTGCTAGGAATACCCTTCCACACCCTGTTTATTCTCTTGGTTCAAGACCATTCACCTTGAAAGAATCAGTTCAGGTGTCATCTCCACTAGGAAGTCTGTCTTGAATCCCATATGTTGGGCCAGGGCTCTCCTTTCTGCACACACACCTTCCACATGTACTGTCTTTGTTGAACCCTTGAAGTCATTGTATCTGCTATGGCCTCCTCAAGCAAACTGGAGCCCTACAAGTCTAGGGACTTTTTAAAAATCCATGTATGGCTCTCTTGTAGAGTCTGGCACACAATAGATTTTCAGAAATGTCTTTTAAAAATGAATGGCATCCATTCACTCAACTTCTTCAGATCCTGGGGCTGAAAGGAGGGAGAGTGCTACAGGCAACCATGTTGAAGTCTTACCCACAAAGTCTTCCATCATCTGAGGGCTGTGATGGGGGGAGGGTGCCAGGCGCAGCAGCTCCTCCCCCCGGGGGACAGTTGGGTAGTTGATGGCCTGCACATAGATGCTGTGCTTGGAGAGCAGGAGATCGCAGATCTTGCTGTTCAGCGCGGCATCACCCACCTGGGCTCAGGAGAAAAGCCTGTCAATATCTGTGACCCTCACCCCGCTATCGCAGGTGGAGGGAACCAGATGAAGGAACAACACTGAATTTCTAAACATATTTTTTTCATAAAGGCCTTAATCAGTGGCAGCTCCAGAATATCTCTATCAAGGAGTTACTCAGAGGCACCAATCGAATTTTAAGGAGTGGGTGTAAGTGGGGCTAGGAACCTTGTCTTAAAACTGTGTGCAGACCAAGCACACAGGTTTTACTTAGCTAGTATGCTAATTTGGGTGGTTCTGGATAAGAAGGAAAATCCCTTAAGCACCCCCCATCTGGGATGCTGCCACTGGGTTCATTAAAAAACAACAACAGTTATTTACAAAAGCAATATTTCAAGGGAATGTTGGGTTGGTCCAAGGAGCAATGACTATTTCTTTCAATAGTCACATAAAAGTATCTTCCCTGCTTCCCTACTTACCGACACACAAATTGATGTTATTTGAGAAAGAAGAACATGTATACATATATGTATAGTCTATGGATACAGATAATAGTGTAGTAAAGGCCTGGGGTGGGATAGGGGCTGGGTGGAGGGGGGCAAAGAGGAAGAAAGGGGAGACATCTATAACTTTGTCAATGATAAACAATAGTAATAAAGAAGTCACAGTTAATTTTTCAAGGCAGTAAATACTCAAACATAGTTGAGGATCCAAAATAGCTGCTAGAAAAATAAATAAATAAAACAAGACAAATAAAAACATAAAAACAGCAGCTAATCCCATGGCTTTTGATTTTATATTTTCTGACTTTAATTCTCAATAAGAAATATATTTCATGATCATGCTATACACATACACATATGTATATGCATGTGCACATAGTCATAGCAAAACTGAAACAAATTGCCCATAAAATGAAACTCTTACTATATGATGTACATGTTCTTTGCTGTTATTTTTTTTTTTTGTAAGCAACTATATTTATAGTCACCATACCATAGATGTGGTGAGTTAAGACAAAGGCCATTCCTTAATAAAATACAAGCATTTTAATCATGCATAGTTTATAGGCTCCTTAAGAAGCGGTCTCTTTAAGAGGCTGGATGTTCAAGAAAGATTCTCATCATAACCTATGAAGGTGATGTTATGGCCCACTAATGGTCTTTATGCATAGTCCGAAAAACACTGAATTATACATAGGTCATGGATACTCAATATTGTGAGGGTCAGAAGAGTCTGATAAGGATGGCTAATGAAAAAAAAAAAAGAAAAGAAAAGAAAACAAAGAAAGTAAGTAAAGAAAAAAAAAAGACTGGTTAATCCAGAACGACTGATAACTTTTCAAAAATGGTTGACAGGAAAGCAAAGAGTTGATGACAGGAGACAGGAGCAGGTGTCAAGTTTGCTGGGTGTGGGAAGGCTCCCAGGAGAGGAGGAGAGGGTGATGGGAAGCATGGGGCTCTCACCCGGATGGGAATGATGTGGCTGGGACAGGGGATAACAGGAAGGCCCCTGTCCATGAGTAGC